TTATCACCTATAGGCATTCTAAGCCAGGGCCTTGAATTGAAATATTTAAAAGGGACATAAATAGATCCTTATTTCCCTATCTGAAAAGAGGTGTCATTCTAAGTCGTGCCCGATTATCACCTATCTAGAAATTTCTAGTGTTGTTGACTTAACTAATTCCTCATCAGCGCCCCTTTTCATTAAGGCGAAGTAGGGAAATTTCTACACGGGGAATAGTGGAGGAAAGAAAATTAAAAAATGGTGGAAAAAAATAAGAGGACAAAGATAAACGAGGATAAAGGTGGATTGATAAGACTGAAGAAAAAAATTAAGGTGGAGGAAATGAACCAGCAAAGAGAAAACAAGCAAATAAAGAGGTAGAAGAAAATAAACGAAAGAAAAAACGAAAAGAGAATGAAAATATCTATACGCAAGACTTCTTGCTAATCTATTATGCACTATATTACCTGATCATTTGCAGTCTGCTTTGTAATAAACAAATATTTAAGTCTGTGTTATTAACTGCGTTCGGGTCAATATCATCTTCCGTTTCTAAATGTTATCTTCAGAATGGTTGTCCAAAGTCGGTCTTAAGAATTAGAAGGTGGTTCTTCATCGTAGAATGATATCAGTCAAGACGAAAGTTGACCCTCATAAAGGACGAAGCTGATTTTCAGTCGTAGGATAATCTTGTTTTGATTCGAAGAAAGATTACTGCCCTTCATTGACAGGTCGTGGCATTTTTTCAGTCGAAGGATCATCTTGTTTCGATTCGAAGAAGATGTCTGCCCTTCAAAGCAGGTCGTGGCAGATTTTCAGTCGAAGGATCATACTGTATTGATTCGAGAGAAGGTTGTCCATGAATGACGAAAGTCGACGTTTCACCGGTATCAAGATGAATTAGCTCCGAACTTTGATCTGACAGGAAATCTTCTAATGACTGAAACAATTTTTATATTTTAATATTATAACAAATTAAAATTGTACGTATTATTAATAACTTCAATCTAATAAATTTATAAAAAATTATTGAAAAATTCGTTACAAATTTTGTCAATATTCAAAAATTAAGCAAATGTTGAAAGTTAATTTTAGGTTAGGTACATTTTTATTTCTCGTTAAAATTTTTTATAATTCTACTTTTGAAGTATACTTATATAAAATGTATAACAATGATATAGTTTATTTATAATTTTAATGTATCTCAAAAACATAAATATAGAATTATCTTGCTATTTAAATTAGTTTTTTAAATAGCTTCTATATTCCCAGGTAAAAATAATTCTTACGAAATTCGTACGATTTTTTTACAAATTTTGTTCAGCAATCCGGCCAGATTCGTACAGAATTCCTATCAAATTCGTATGGAATTCCGCACGAAATGAAAGCTAAAAAGTTCCTCAAAAGTTTTCGGGCTGAAATTCGAGCGAATTACGAACGGATTTATTTTGGAAAATTTTTTATAAAATTCTGCTCGGAAATTCGTACGGAAATTCCGCCGAAATTTTTGAAGGAATTTTTAGTTTGCCATTTCATGCGGAATTTCATTACGAATTTCTAAGCAGAAATTTTATAAAAATTTTCCAAAAGAATCGATTCGTAATTCGTTCGAATATCATGCGAATTTCGTATGGGAATTTCGCCGAAAATTTTTGAACAAATTTTTGCTTCCATTTCGTGCGGAATTCCATACGAATTTCCAGCAGAATTTTATAAAAAATTTCCAAAATAAATCCGTTCGTAATTCGCTCAAATTTCACACGAATTTCGTATGGAAATTTCGCTAACAACTTTTGAGGAATTTTTAGCTGATATACGTGCGGAATTCTATACGAATTTCCGAGCAGAATTAAAAAAAAATTTTCAAAATAAATTCGTTCGTAATTTGATTGAATTTCCCACGCAGTTCGTAAGGAAATTCGGCCGAAAATTTTAAGAAATTGTCAATAGAATTTCCGTGTCAATTTCCATACAAAAAATTTCACATATCCATTAAAATTAACGATAATGTAGAAAAATTGTAATAAATTATTCATTTTTAAATATTTTTTCTATTTTAAAACGCTCTGTTTGTAATTAAAGTCTATTTCAATAAGGAAATTCAAACGTTTGGTAATTTTTTCAAATAAAAAAATTTAAATTAATATCATCAAGGTTAGGCCAAAATATTTTTTAAATTGTAATTCTTTGGTAATAAATTTCACTTCCTTAAATTGGACAGTGATAAACTTATTTCTAAGGACTTTAATATTTGGAATATGTGTTTATGTCAATTTTTTTGAAAAATAGATTTATCAACTTTTAAAAATTGCTTAAAATAAAATATAAATAATAAATAAAGTGCTAAATCATTTAGTAAATTATTGAACCATGTAAAAATTGATCGAACTTGTACTATTTCAGATTTGTAGAGTAGTAAAAATTAATACTTATTACCTTTTTAGCTTTTTCCAAGGTAGGTGTTATATCTTTTGCTAAACGTAAAGCAATATTAATATTGTTTAGTGCATAAGATAATGTAGAGCATTCCAAAGTATCCATATCCAAAGTTTTCAATATCTCCTTTGCACTAGAAATGTTTGCTTCTTTGCGCAGAAGTTTCTGATTTATTTTCTGAAAATCATATTTAATAATTACTTAGAATTTCTTTTATAATCTTATAAAATTCAGTAAAATAAAATTTTTTTATCACCTTTCTTATTAGAAATAATGAACTTATGATGAGTATCAACAAAATTTAAAACAATTTTTAATAATAGAAAAGAATCGTTGAAATAATAAAATGGAGATTTGTTTAATTGCAATATCAAAACTAGTAATAATCATAATATTAATAAAAATACCTTCTGAGGATTGTCATCTGACAGTGCTTGATTTTTTTTACAGCTTGTTGTGGATTTTTCGTTTCTTTTTCTTTTTAAACTTCTTGTTGCTTCTTGTAATTTTTGAGTTTTTAATTTTAGCAAATCTGCTTCATTAGCTGAAATAAACAATGAAAACATTTCTTAACTACAAATTTCATGAGTGAACGATTGTGACTTTAACCTTAAAAATTATAGTATATAATTTCAGGGAATTAAATTGAAGTTTGATTTTTAACAGATAAATAATACTTACTTGAGATTCCAACTATTTTCCCAGAATACTTTTTTTTGTGTCGTGCACGCTCTGGCCACAAATAATTGATAGTTGATCCAACCTTTAACTCCACTATTTCATTCTCATCAACAGCAATTGAACTTTTTTCAATTATGGTAAAATAACCATCGCCTTCCAATAAATATTGTTCCATTTTTACCAAGTAATAAAAGACCGAAAAAAGAAATTGGAAAATGTCAACTTTATCTTTGACAACATACAACAAAACACTTGGTTACCTTGGTTTCCTTGGTTACCAATTAAACGTTATGTTAACAACGTCAAGTGATTACGGATTTTAATTTGAATCTTCTTCAAAGTAAAATTTATTCTCTTTGTTATAAATCAGTGGAAAACTTTTAGACCAACGTGTAATAATTTATATTGTAAGTATAAGCAACAAATTTATAATTATTAGTTTTTATAAATTTAAATAGTTACATTATTTGAGAATAAAATTTTTGATCATTCTTGTCATAGAGGCCAAATATCATACTACTATTAATTATTATTTTTGATATTATTATTATTATTATTATTTATATTATTATTATTATTATTATTATTATTATTATTATTATTATTATTATTATTATTATTATTATTATTATTATTATTAAAAGGAACGAACAAATTTTTGATTAAAATAAAAGTAAATAATTAATTAAATTTTAATAAATTTCTTTTTATGGTTATTATTCCTAAATGGAAAAAATAATAAAAATCAAACACTTCTTACTACTTAATTATGTACGAAAATAATTTAGTTCTAATACAAATTTTAGGATAAGAACTCCGGAACTGATTGCATCCACGTAGACCGTCAAAATAAGCATGGATGAAAACGAAGATGCGGACTTTATAGACGAAGTAAGTAATTTTATGCTTTATATGTATAATATGTGATTAACAATACAATTTATAATCAATTTTCATTGATTATAAATAATTTTTTTAAAATCTAAATAATTTTTCGCTCCTTGTCGCAATGCAAAATAAACAAGAAGCTACTATTTTTCATAAATTCTTAATCACATTCACTCATTAAAAGCGAAGTATCAGCGAAATCAGTAATATTATTTTTAATTCTGAGAGTCCACTCTCACAATAACTCAAAAAATATTATTATTGTTATCAATAATAATAATAATTATTCAAACAACGGGACTTTCTTTATCGACTATGAAGATTCTTGAACAGGGATGCTATTCTGTAAATCACACTGACTTTTATTTCAGCCTCACTATGTCTCACTCTTATTTAACCCTCATCTCACTCTTATTTCACTCACACTTTCACTAACTCACATTATCCCTCTCATTTCACCCTGACGATAACATCATTTTCACTTTCACTCTCACTTCCCCTCACTATCATTCTCGCTTATCACTTACTTTCTCTCTCAATGTCATTTTAACCTTCAAATGGAGTTAGAAACACTCTTATTTCACAATCACTTTCACTCTCGATTCACCCGCACTTTCAAATCAAATGACTTTCATATCACTCTTATTTTATACCCTCACCCTTACTCTTCCTTTCCTTTCACTCATAATTTCACATACGTTTCAAGTTAACTTTTTCTCTCATTCACACACTAGCTTTAAATAACTTTCACTTATTTCATTTCCTATTCCCCTTACTTTCTTCCTCACTCTCACCTTCAGCCTTACTTTCTACTACTCTCACTCTTAACTTCAAATGGCTTTCACATCACTTTTATTTTACCCTTACTCTCTCACATTCTTATTCTAACTTCAAAATAAATTTTGCTCACTCTTACTTTACCCTCACTTTTACTTAATTCTTACACACACATTCATTCTTATTTCACACGCACTTTAACTCTCGAGTCCCTAAGCTTACTTTCTCACTTTTTCTTCAAATAACTTACACTTACTCTCATTTTACTTCTCTCTGACTCACACTTTCTCTCTCGCATCACTCAAACTTTAAATGATTTTTATCTCTATCACTTCACCCTTACTCTTATTTCATTCTCACTTACACTTCCACTCTCGCTTCACCCTTCATTCACTCTCACTCTCATTCCTCACATACTTTCCCTCTTGATTCCCCAAACTTACTCTGTTACTCTAAATTAAAATAACATACACTTACTCTCAATTTTACTTCACTCTGTCTCACAGTTTTCCTTTCGCATCACATTACTTTCACTTTCACTCAAACTACAAATGCTATTTGCTCACTATTACTTTACCTAGACTGTCACCTCATTCTCACTCACACTTTCACTTTCGCTTATCCTTACTTTCACTCTCATTTCACACACTATCACTTTCGATTCTCTAAACATACTCAACAACTTCAAATAATTTACAATTACACTCATTTTTACTTCACACTGACTCACACTTTCCCGATCGCAACACTCTTACTTTATCTTTCACTCACTTCTTTTTCTATTTCCCTTTACTCTCTCCCTCACTCTCACCTTCACCCTTACTTTCTCCTACTCTCACTCTTAATTTCAAATGTCTTTCACATCACTTTTATTTCACCCTTACTCTCTTACATTCTTATTCTAACTTCAAATAAATTTTGCTCACTCTCACTTTACCCTCACTTTTACTTCATTCTTACTCACACATTCACTCTCATTTCACTCACTATAACTCTCGAGTCCCAAAGCTTACGCTCTCACTCTTTCTTCAAATAACTTACACTTACTCTCATTTTTACTTCACTCTGACTCTCACTTTCTCTCCCGCATCACTCAAACTTTAAATGTTTTTTTATCTCTATCACTTCACCCTTACTGTTACTTCATTCTCACTTACACTTCCACTCTCGCTTCACCCTTACATTCACTCTCACTCTCATTACTTACATACTTTTACTCTTGATTTCCCAAACTTACTCTCTTACTCTAAATTCAAGTAACATACATTTACTCTCAATTTTACTTCACTCTGACTCAGCTTCCCTCTCGCTTCACTCTTACTTTCTCTTTCACTCAAACTGCAAATGACATTGCTCACTATCACTTTACCTAGACTGTTACCTCATTCTCACTTACACTTTCACTCTCGCTTTATCCTTACTTTCCCTCTCACTCTCATTTCACTCGCTATAACTCTCGATTTCTCAAACTTAGTGTCATACTCTATCTTTAAATAACTTACACTTACTCGCATCACTTACTTCCTCTATTACTCAAACTTTAAATGAGTTTGGTTCACTGTTACTTCATTCTCACTTACACTTTCACTCTCGCTTCACCCTAACTTTCACACTCATTTCACATTCACTTTCACTCTTAATTCTCTAAACTTACTCTTTCACTCAAACTTCAAATGACTGTTGCTCACTATCACTTTACCCTCACTTTACCCTTACTTTTCCTTCCCCATAATTCAAATGAGAGTGAGTAAGAAAGTCAGGGTGGTGCTAGAGTAATAGTCTGTAAGTGTGCAGTGAGGGTAAAGTGAAGAATGTGTAAAAAAACGTGGTGTGGTGTGTGAGTGAGTGAGTGAAATTGAGAGTGAAAGTTCTGGCTAAGTAAGAATAATTCTGAACTAAAAACGAGTGAATGTGAAACTAATTAAATATTAAAAGGGTAAAATGTATATGAAAGTAAAGATGAAGTGAGAGAGTGAGTGTTAAGCGAAACTGAGAGTGAAATAAAATTAAGGGTGATGTGGATATGAAAATGAGAGTGTGTGTGAAATGGAAGTGGATTTAGAGTAAAGTGAAGTTACAGAATAGCATCCCAGTATGAACGAACCAAATATTGGCGAGCTAGTGTTGGGGAAATAAAAATCCGATGGTCAGTACCGCAATATAATAGATTTTCTGCTTGGGGGTTTTAACAAAAACATCAACATCAAAATACCAAGATATTTTTAAGTAGAGCAATAGTTATTAAAGAAGCTCCAACTAGCACACAATTATCAACACCCATTGTATTTTGGACAATCAATTTTAAAGTGTAATATTTTTTGCGTAAAACCAACATAAAATGTTGAAAAATAAAGTGTGTGCTGATGATTGGGTATAAGTTGCAGCTACATTGATTTCTGGGATTACTATATGTCTGTAAACATTTTCTTTTATAGGATCCCGACAATGGCTCTGGTTTCACAGAAGATAGTTGGTCAACAACATCGGATAATTTAGCTGACAATTCTTCGACTGGTCAACTTTCAACCTCATCATTGTCGTTGACATTAAACTCAAGTAATAGAGCTTCTGTAGAAATTGATGATTTGTCAACATCGGATGTCTTAGTTAGTTCTCCTGCTTCGACTAGTATTAATTCACTCTTATTATCACCATCGAGATCCGGCTCAAATAGTAGCGCTGCTTTACAAGAAGCTATTTGTCTCTTGCTTCGATTGATTCTACCGCTTCGAATAGTCAACCATTATCCGATAACGCAAATGTGTCTATTAGTAATTTTGAATCACTTTCCGGGATGAATGATCTGTCTAATGTTTCTTCAAGTGTATCAATCATTTCTAATACTTTTGCAAATTCTGTTCTTTCGGAATTTGAAATTAGCACCGACGAAGATAAAGAATTTACAAGTGAATGGCTATTTTTACCACTGTATGAAGGAACAGACACGTCAAATGGGGATGTTTTACGCCAAATACTGGATATTCATATTTCCAGTGCAGGAACAAAACAAATTTTGGACAAGACAATACAACTTATTGTATCTACATTGCCACCAGGAGCCAGTAATTTCCCGAAGTCGAGATATTTTGTTTTAAAAATTATAAATCAATTAATGCCTCATTCGTTCTCTGAAACATTCATCAGACACAGGATCTGTGATGTATGTTTTAATTATATAGGTAAATTGGATCTAATCCCACGAAACACAACCTGCAACGTTTGTTCGAACTCCGATTTAAATGGTTTGATTATGCAATTTAGTATCACAACTGCCATACAGGATGCATTCGAAGTCGGGAATCTGAAACGTTTCATAGATGAATATGAAGAAGAGTGCAATTCTCAGCAACTAGATCACATTATTTACGATATAACTTCTGGTCATGAGTTCAAGCATTTGAAAGCCACAGTAATTATGGGGAAGTATGATTTATGTTTAATTTGGAACGCTGACGGGATCCCGACGGATAATGACACTGGACAACTTTGGGCTTTACAAGCGCAAATTGTAAATGTCCACCCAAGGTATAGAAGAAGGTTTCAAATTCTTTCTGCTTTATACTACAGTAACAAGAAGTCCAAGCA